TGCGTGGCTGGTCAGCAAGACCAGACACCGAGGAAGGAAGGACCTGCCCTTCCCAGCACTCTGCATGCCTTGGGATTGGCTTGGCGGCGGGCAGGGAAGGAAAAGTCCCCAGTAGCTGCTGAAATCCCATCTAGTACCGGGTAGGTAACCTGGCAGGACAGATTGGGGCTAAGAACCTCTTACCTCAGGTTCTAAAAAATGCAAGTTTCTGCTTCCCAGGTGTCCCACGGGTCTCACTTGGTGAAGCCCCACGTCTGAGGGAGGGGCGCTCTGGGACACCAGCGCCATCGCCAGGGGACAGCTCTGGGCGCCGTTGCTGAGGTGGACGAGGCTCCTACCCTGGCTCAGGCCGTGGCCGGACAGCAGGCAAACATCAAGCGGCAGGGCTTTTCTGCTTAACAAACAGGAGCTGCGAAGATCTTAGAGAGAAATTTCTCTCAGAGATTCAAAGTAAAGGCAGGGGAGGGGGTGAGAACGGATGGCGGGTCGCAGGGATGGCGCTGCGTGGGCAGTGAGCAGTTCCCCAGGTCTGCTTGCAGGCTGGAGCAGCCAGCCTGTGACAACCCGGATAAATACGTGGGCACAAGCAGGGTGGTGCCAAGCAACCTCTTGGACCACTGCTTCCCATGCTCAGGGAGAAAGGAGTTGCTGCTGGTCACCTGACAGAAAAGATGGCCCACACACTGCTGGCCTGGATCAGGGGAAGCCCCAGAACTTGGGTTTAGAAGCAGCTGGAAGCTTCTGAGTCTCTTTATCAACCTAGAGTCCAACACGACACACAGGGACCTCTTCCTTAACCGGGAGCCGAGGGAGCCCTCGGAGGGCTCAGGATGACACAACTTGACCGACAGCGATTCCTCAGAGCAGGAAGCTGCCCTGCTGCTTCCCAGAATGACAATCTGTTCTCCCTGCCCTCACTGTGCTCAGTGTGCAGCAGGACAGGCTCCACTCCTGGGGAGGGGGACAGGTGTTAGGGTGCCTGCAATTTCTGAGAAACACTGAGAGGGCCAAAGTGCAATACTTGTAGGACTAACTACTGTGTCACTCACAACTTTGGATTTGGACATTGCCCCTCCTAGAGAAGCTGATGGTGCTTGTGGGCCGCTTCTGGACTGAGAAATTACTCACTGTTGCTCACTACTGTCCGAATGACCAAGAAAAAGGGCAGGAAGCAGCTACTTTCAAATGAAGAGCAGAAACTCAAACCTTTTTTTTTTCCTGGGTACATTAGTATCTTTAGAAACCTACACAAAAGCTGGGCAGAGGCAGGAAATTGCATTTGATCATTCTGGGAACAGCAAATATACTCTAATGTGGTGGGCACAGGGGATCGTCCAGCCAAGGCAGAGCGGCCACAGCGCTCTGAGACATGTCCGTAGGTCTCATCTCTCATGTTGAATGCACACCAGGAAATGGTGAGTCACAAAAGCGAAGTCGGTCAGGAATACCAACCATAATAGGAGGCTGGCATCATTACACACACATCACACTGAATAAGCCCGGCTGCTGTGTGCAGAGTAACTGCAGTGCAGAAGAACAGCAGGAGAGGAACAGCTGTAAAGCACAGCTGCACAGGTATCTTACCAATATCACACTCAAGCTGAGGCCCAAAGGATCTGGGCAACTCGAGAATTGTGATCAAACTGTCCCCACCCCCAGATGGAGAGTCTAAATTGTGAACGCGGAAAACTCATTCTGACTCAGGTTCATTCTGTGGTTCTGATCCTGATCAGCAGATTCTGATTCACATCGTGTATGAAGACAGATCACACTCCCGAGGGCAGTGGTAACAAGGGACACAACATTAAGAGTTAGGAGCAGCCGACTCAGTGAGTCATGTTTCCAGGAGGAGAAGAGAAGCAGCAGCCAGGGACACACAGGCCACATGTGACCAAAGACAGTTTGAAGTAGAGCTGGCAAGAGTAATTTAAAAGATTCTCTGGGCTCACACGTGATTGTACTTCCCTTACCCTAGGTGTCAGGTACATACGTGAGGCTAGAACAGAGGTGACATCACAGTGTGTGTCATAATAGCAGAATGTAACAGTGGGAGGCTGGCATTGTCTTACAGGGAAAGGGCTGTAAGAACAGAATGCTCATAGACCGCTCTCTTACTCCTGTGTTCCCTGGCTTCTCAACTTTAATTTTCACAATTTTATAATTCTCTTATAGATGTTAGAAACCAATTTTTATATTGTTAATGAAGCTTCATTTCAGTTCTGCTTCTTGGTAATTGAGACTAATAAAAAAGTGTTGTTCAACCAGACAGTACTAACCAATAAGGAGTGTTTGCCATTCTTGCCTTGGTGTGAATTTTGGCTCTCGGTAAATATGATGAGTACCATTCGTATTCTTTAGAATGGGTTCTTTCTCATGTGCTAATTAACTCAATCACAGCTTCTCCATATAAACTGCAGTCATATCACTTTTCCCCAATATGGTGTCTCTGATGTTGGATGAGGTTTGCCGTCTGGTTGAAAGCTTTCCCACATTTATTACATTTATAAGGTTTCTCTCCCGTGTGAATCCTCTGATGCTGGGTAAGATGTGTGCTTCGGATAAAGGCTTTCCCACAGACTTTACATTTGTAAGGCTTTTCTCTTGTGTGGATTCTCTTATGTTGGGTGAGGGCAGAGTGGTCACTGAACGCCTTCTCACATATGTTACATGTATAAGGTTTTTCCCCAGTGTGAATTCTCTGGTGCTGGGCCAGGGCTGATTGGTCCCTGAAGGCTTTCTCACACAAGCCACACCTGTAGGGTTTCTCTCCAGTGTGAATTTTCCGATGCCGTGCAAAAGATGAATTATCCCTGAAAGCTTTTCCACATTCACTACATTTATAAGGTTTCTCACCAGTGTGAATCCTTTGATGTTCTGTAAGGGAAGAGTTCACCCTGAAGGCCTTTCCACATTCATTGCATTCAAAGGGTTTCTCTCCCGTGTGGATTCTCTGATGCTGGAGAAAACTTGTACTCTGGTTGAAAGCTTTCCCACATTCATTACATTTATAGGGTTTCTCACCACTATGAATATTCTGGTGTTTGGTAAGATGTGCCCTGCACACGAAGGCTTTTTCACAAATGTTACACTTGAATGGTTTCTCTCCAGTATGTATTCTGTGGTGGTGGGAAAGATGTATGTTCCGGATGAAGGCTTTCCCACACAAGTTGCATTCAAAAGGCTTTTCTCCAGTATGGATTTTCTGATGATACGTCAATGAGGAGCTCACTGAGAAGGCCTTGCCACATTCCTTACATTCATACGGTTTCTCCCCTGTGTGAATTCTTTGGTGATGGATGAGGTGTGTGCTCTGGTGAAAGGCTTTCCCACATTCTCGACATTCATACCGTTTCTCTTTCATATATGTTTTCGGACTTGGGCTGAGTTTTTCAGTGTGGGTTTTCTGATGCTTGTTAAGGGTGGAGCTCTTAGAGAAGACCTTCCCGCACTCATAACATTCAAAGGCTGTTTTGCTTGGCTGCAATCCCTGGCTCTGAACAAGCGAGAAGCTCCTGGGGCAGCCCTTCCCAGACTCAGGGGCCTGCTGTGCACTGACTCCCAGTGGGGCGTCCTGATGGGCAGAGACCACTCGCTGCCAGTTCACTTCCTGACCTTCCTGGCACTGCCATCCCAACAAGCTGGCACATTTCCAGGGACCGCCTCTCGTCAGCCCTTCCTTTACTGTCCATGGATCGAATGCTTCTTTAGGAATATCTGCCTGCAGAGTAGATAATTTACTCACAGCCACAGTCATCCAGTCTGCAAGACATTAAAAATAAAAATGTCTCAATTACCTTCACAAACATCAAGATGGCAGGAGATGATGAGCTTTTAACAACACTACCAATGCAGTCTTGAAGATTTCTTTTTTGGGGGGTACTGGGGATCGAACTCGTGTCCTTGCACTTGCGAGGCAGGCGGTGGAACCACTGAGCTAAATCCCTGGCCCAAGACTTCTTCAAGTGACAACACAGGAAAGAGGAAGAGGGCTAAGCACTGGACTATGGTGCAGTTATTCTGATGCATCCTGTGTGAGGAGGAGAGCTTGGGAGCCACTGCAGAGGTCCCAGGCCTGGGCCAGAATCCTGACTGCAATGCTTATTTCCTTTGTGGAGAGAAGTTACCTGATTTTTCTGAGCCTCACAAAAACAGAATATAGTCCACACTATGCAAACAGATATGTAAGAAATGTACCTTGTCTATTCTAGTGATATGGACTTTAAGAAAACCCATATACAGCCTTATGAAAATCAATGAAACCTGAGGTCAGTGCTTGGTAAAGAAAAATCTCAAGGGTGAGTAGTAACACTTCATGTTCTAGCCATTCATTTGAGTGTTTAGATGGAAAAGAAAAAACAAGGCTGATGGATAGGCTGTATGAAACATTCATGTTCACCCTCAGGAGGAAGTTACATTTCCAAACCCTTGTGAAAATGTGACAACGCATGAGGAAAACAAATCATGATACTGTATAAAAATAGAAAATCAGGAAGAAAGCAGTACATTCCAGGCTATATCCAGCATGTCTAGGGGGAGAGGCTGTGAAGCTGGAGAACAGACCATTCACAGTAATGTGATTCAGCTGCTTGAATAGTGGCTGGAGCCCAATAATTCCAAATAATTCCTCTCCTCAGACAAAAATTCCTTACTTATTCAACAACCTTCTCACACTTGGTATCTTGGGTATCTTGATTAATTAGTAGACTTCTGGGTTGCATTTTATTTTTCCATATATTTGTGAATAGCCACCTCTAACTTAGGTTTATTTAAGACTTTATATTAAGAAACATAATGCTAGTGACTGGATACTAAACACTGGCAAAGATTTCTAGGAAATCCTACAGAGAACAGACTCTCTTCAATATTTCCCTTTCTCACTCATCCCAGAAAATCTTTTACAAATAACAATTTAAATAACTCTTTAGTTACTGGGGAAAAAAGAGTTAAACTGGCATATTTTAAGGCTAATCCTGAGTTTAAACTAACATAAGCTTTCTCAAAACAAAAATAGTTGACGGTAAATGCCAGTATGGTTGTCTCTGAGGATCCACGACTGGTTCTAGAATTCTCCACAGACACCAACATCCATGGATGCTCAAAACACTTAGATGAAATAGCATACTACTTACCTATCAGCTATGCACAATCTTTTATGCACTTTAAATCTTCTTTAGATTAATTATAGTACTCACTACAATGTAAATGCTATGTGGTATGTAAATGGTTGTTACACCGCATTATTTAGGGAATAATTCAATAAAAATATATACATATTCAGTAAAGACACAATCCTGACTTCAGGCCTAACTACACAGTATGAAGCCTGTTAGGTGAATCCGCAGATGTAGAGCCTTAATAATCTAACATTTGGGAGACAAGGGAAAAAGAGAGAGGTGATTCAACACTTTGTGGTCGTCTCCTCAAGAATTTGCTAAGCCTCTGATAGGCAAAAGACAAATTTAGCAGAAATCCATAATTTTCTATAGTTGTTTTGTACGTGAAGCCAAAAAGTGGAATTCGGGACTTTCCAGAGAGGGCTCCTCATGAAGTCTCAGATGGGGCCCCTGCAGGGTTCTAACATCATAACTCTCATAAGGGAAAATAAGAGAGGGCAAAACCGCCAGCTCTCACAATCCCTGGCTGGATGTGGGTGGTCTGTTTGCACCCTACCTGCTGACAGAGAAGGCAAATCCTCTCTGGAAGGAAGTACAATGTCCACAGTCTTTGTGCTCCTTCACACGTTAGGGATTTGATTAGAAATACTAAGAAATTATATAAAGAAAAAACAGACGATAGAAAAGAAGAGAACACAGATGTCAGAGTAATCAGAGAGTTATCACGACTTAGAAAAGAAACTTGATAACGTGCTTGAGAAAACAGAAGACTGAAAAATCTCTGTTCCAACAGAGAATTGGAACAAAAAATCAAATGAAAAGATGGAAATAAAGTGTTTGTAGATGGGGAGGGGGGGTGAAGGGGGTGAAGGGAGGGCAGGGGTAAGGGGAAAAAATGAGAACCAAGACTTGTCATGTAGAGGTACAAGATCCCAATGATGAATGTAACTGTACTGTATCCCTAAAATGTACCAATAAACTCAATTAAAGCTGAAAAAAAAATCAAATAGAAATCTCAGAATTGAAAAACAATAAAAAATTATGGACTAATAGCTGGATTTAATGGTATCCTGAAAACAGCAGAAGAAAGTAACAGTGAACTACAAAAATGTGTAAGCAGAAAATACCCACACGCTTTGACTTCAGTGTGCTCCCCAGAGTTCACCCGCTGGAAATATAAACCCTAAACTCATATGTTGAAGTATCAACACAGGGCCTTTGGGAGATAGCTAGGATAGATGAAGTCATGGCGGTGGGCTGCTCAGAATGGCATGAGTCATCTCAGAAGCAGAGGAAGAGACCTGAACTTGCTCACTTGCTCCATCTCAACACGACCTCTGCCATGGTATGGTGCTCTAAGAAGCCCGTATCACACTCTCAGACAACCCAGACTCCAAAACTGAGAGCCAAGTAACTGTTCTTACTCCAAAACTGAGAGCCAAGTAACTGTTCTTTACCACTTACCTCAGTCTGTGGCATTCAATTATAGCGACAGAAAAAAACAGACTAAGATTCTATGGTAAAAGGTGAAAGAAAATAAAAAGAGGCACAGATGACATGGCGAAAAGCTCGAATACATGTGTGATTAGAATTAGGGAATAAGAGGAGAAAATAATAGGGCATAACATTATTTGAAATGAGAAAGGCTAAAGACAGAAGTTCTCCTACTCCAAGTAGGATAAATTCAAATAAAACTACCTAGACACAGCATGGTAAAACTACTGAAAAGCAAAAGAGTATCCTGAGAGTTGCATGAGAAAATAAAATATATCACCCGGAAGGAAGTAAACAAAGACTGATAGTATCTTTCCAACAAAAATAGTAGAAGCCAGACATAATCCAAAATGCTGGAATAATCTGACAGTCAAAAAAAATTTGACAGTAACAAAATTTCAAGAGAAAAGAGCAGATATCTCCAAAAAGTAAATAAGAAATAGGTATCTCCATATGAATAAAAATAGAGATTTAGAAACAGTAGGCCCATATTAAAAGTGTAACATGAGGGTTCCAGGCAGAAGAATAACGGTCCCATGTGGAAATATGGAAATGTAAGAAGGTGTAAAAAGTAATAGGAAAAATAAATTATTGATTGCACAAAATAGTAATTAGCCATGGCACCAAAAAAAAAGAGAGAAAAAAAAACTAAATAAAAAGTTATTTTGAATGGTAATAAACTAGTTTTGTATATTAAACCTACAATTAAAAGTCTAAACAAGGGCTGGGGATTTAGCTCAGTGGTTCGGTGGCCTGCCTTGCAAGTGCAAGGACCCAAGTTTAATCCCCGGTACCAAAAAAAAGTCTAAACAAGGTAAATTAATAAGCTAATACAGGATGAAAATATAAAAATATTTAATCCAAGAGAAAGCACGAGAAAAGACAAAAATGTATTTAAAGAAAGTAAGAGATAATAAATAAGATTGCAGATACTAAATGTCATATTAGTAACTGATCTAAATTACTATATTAAATACATTAAAATTATAAGACTGAATATTAAAAATAAAATTCAACTAAATACCACTGAGAAAATACCAAAAGTATAAAGACCAAAATATTAAAATGAAAGAAAATGAGAAGGGGTAAATTATGCAAAGATAGCTGGTGTACCTATACTAATATCAGACAAATTACACAATATTAGAGAAAATAACTTTAAGATATTAAAAAAAGACAAAATGGCCAATTTTTCAAGAACATATAACATGTCTCCATTTGCAGACAAATAGTGTAACTTCAAAATATAAAAGTAAAACACTTAATGAAAGGGAAAAATAGACATAGCAATAACTGTAGTGAGAGATGTTTGCATACCACTTGTAATAATCAAAAATCACATCATAAAAGGAAAAATTTCAACAATATTTACATACTTGGGACACTATACCCAACAATGACGAATATACGTAATGTTTTAAGTACTTAAAAATCATTTACTAAAACTGCCTAGAATTGTGATCATTCAGAATATATTCCCTGAACTCAGTGGAACAAGGCCAGAAATGCATAGAGTGCCCACCGGACAATTAGAAAATCTTTAAATGTTTCTGCCATGAGCTCACTGTGTTTCCCAAAGCCCACATGGAATCAATTCCCAGGGCATGGTGCTGAAGGGTGGGATCCCGGAGAGGTGAGGAAGCCTGGGGTCTGCTGTCACGAACGACGAACGCTACCATGGGCTCCGGGTAAGCCGGGCAACCCATCCCCTCCACTCTCACACAGATACTCCCATGCTCTCTCACCAGGTGATACTCGGCCACTATGACACAGCACAAAGGCTCACCAGACGTGGCCTCTCAATCCTGGGCTTTCCAGAGTCTGGAACCATGAGCAAAATGAGTTTTCCTTTTTTAATTAGGCAGTGTGTAGAGTTTGATACAGACACATAAAATAGATTAAAATAGTGTTTAATTAAGCAATACATTTCTAAATAACTGATGGACTAAAGAAGTCATAACAAAAAGTAGATAATATTTTAAATCTGAATACAAATATGAATTAGAACTTACAGGACTCAGCCGAAGACATCTTAGGAGCAAGAGCAATAAGCATAAATAGCTGGAAAGTGGTGGCTGGGTGGATTCTTCAATTGTATAGAAGGAATTACATAAATATTGTCAAAAACTGCAAAGTCAAGAGATAGCAATATATATGTTACCTGGGGCATGGAAACAAATATATGAAATGATCAGGTAAAAGAGAAAGTCATCACTTTTAGAGAAAGAAATGGAGAGAGGGGATAAGGTAATTACGCTGCTCATGATAAACAATATTATTAGAGCTTTAGAGTAATGCATGCATTTTTGACAGTAAGTATTAAAAATAAAGGAAAAGAACAGAATACACTCCAAAAATGTGAAAGAAATATTAAAGTAAAAGTAAATGCAGATAAAATAGAAAAGATCATAAAAGTTAAATTTTATTTATTAAAAAAGCTAATAAAAATACAAGCCTCTGACAAGACACAAAGAAAGACAAAAGTAAATATTATTAGGAATATTTTCACTCAACACTGATATCTGGTATGCCAACGACACCACAGCAAATGAGATAAAGTCATTCCTTCACTGACACAGAGAAGATTATACAGCGCACAGGGAACACTAAAAATAAAGATAAATAAGAAAGACTTACTACTCCACTAAGTGAGAACTTCTGTTAGTAAAGAAACAACATGAGCTATCGACAGCGAGAAGAGAACTGACACACACACTAACGGCTAAGTATAAATTCCTGATAAAGAAACTGTCACCTAAAATGGGCAGAGAATAGCAGTGTAATATCACAGAACAAACATGAAAGAGTGTTCACCCTCAGTGATACTGCAAACAAAAAGCACAACGAGATGCCATTTCTCAGGGGTGAGATAAGCAGAATTTCTGAAGTGTGAAAGTTCCAAGTTTGGGTAAGGGTGTCAAGAAACAAGAACCTGGATCAACTACTATCAATGCATTCTGGAACAAATAATTTCACCAGTAATCTGGGACAATATACCCTTAAAGCCAGTATATCTCCATCTGCAAGTACAAGCAAAGAAACTTCCACGTATAAACAAAAAAATGTACAAGAATATTCAGGACAGCGTTACGCATAACACAGAAAAGCATGGAAGCAAACTACAGGTCCGCTGGCAGAAAGATGGATGAACTAAGGAGTAACGAAACATCTAAAGCTGCACGCCTCACACGGACTTGAAGGAGCTGTGGAAGTTTCCATCCTGCATGTACACATCACGTACAAGGCAGGCAAAAGCCAGTGAAAGCTGTTCGGAGCCGTAGATGTCTGTGCTAAGCCCATGAGGATGCCAGGTGAGAGGAGACACCGGAGACACCGGAGTTAAGACCAAGCCATGGTCCTCCCTGTCATAGGCGGAGGAAGATGCCGCCATGGCTCCCAGGTTCCTTTTTAAGTCGGGTGCCAGGAACAGAGTACTGCTCCCGCCATCCTTTAAACTGCTCCAGACACTGCGTACTCTCTTATATATTCGAAGCACAGTACTAAAAATACAGGTATTTCAGAGTGAAAGGAGGAAATAATAATAGTAAATGTAGAAATCAATATGGAAGAGCAATGTAGAAGTGCTAGGTCACTAAAATAATTCCCTGGGGACTTATGAGCAAAAAGATACAAGTAAAAGGGAAAATGAAAAAAAGGACATAATACACAATGTTAAAATTATAGATGAATACTATTCCTGGCCTTGTCTAACACATTTTCTAGATCAAACAAGGTAAGTTAGAACTAATAGATAAAACAATTGGTTTGACACAAAAAGACCAAACAGAAGAATACATAAGATTCTATTAGTAAACTACTATTACTACTATTAGTAAACTACTCAAATTAAATGGTCACATACTTTTCCTTGAGTTTAAGGAGTGAACAGTTTCTGTGTTCATTAAAACTATTTTGGAAAAGGGGAAAAGTACAGCAATGAAGGGTCAGAGGGCTCTCCCCTGACTTCCTGCTAGTCCTGACTTGCCACGTAATGGCAGCATGGTCCAAACAAGTTAACCGGGAGACTCAGTTTCCCGTAAAGTGGGACTAATGAAACCCGTGACATAGGTTGTCAGGATTAAATAGGGCACCCCACCACCATGCAGCAAATGCTGAAGTGTCAGCTCTCTCTTCCCTCTATTACAGCATCTCGTAGCCCAGGAAATGGAAAACTTAAAAAAGAAAACTATCTCTCAGAAGGACTTTTCCTAGTATGATTAAAATAGTCTATTCTAAACCAAGAGTAAGGAGTATAATACTGAAAAGTTCTAGATTTAATACATCTTAAGTAGCTCTAATATGAAATGCCTAGGATTGTTCCAGATCTTGGAATACTTGCATAAACAGAGTGAGGTAGTTTACAGATAGGACCCAAGCCTAAACATGAAATTCATTTATGTTTCATACACACCTTATTACACACACAGCCGGCAGGTTGTTTTACAGCTATTGCTTAGTTTGTTTGCATTTTGGCTGCAACCTGTCACAGGAGGTCAGCTGTGGAAAATTCTACTTGTGACAGTATATCAGCTTAACAATTTTGGAGCATTTCAGATTTTGGCTTTTCGGAACAAGGACATTCAACTTGTACCCTCAAGATCAGAAATGTGCTTGTGATCATGATTCTCTATGGTCTTTAAAGTCTAAGCCAGTCATTGCGGACTACAATAAGAATAAGAAAAAAAAAAACTAAAAATGAAATCCAATAAACATTTTAAAATGAGTATGTATTATGTGTAACAAGGCGGGAATAAATATTTGGAATTGCTAGCATTTCTTTATAGCAGCAATTTCCAGTCAAGACAGTAAGAGGGTTCAACTAAGATTTATGATTGTCTGTGTTTTCATGTCATCATCCACACTTAACTATAAAACCATTCCGTGAAGACAAAAGATAAAAATCTTTCTTCATATTCTTCCCATGCAAGTCCAATAAGGAATTGGAGTTAATGATGAATGGCTGATTGAACAATTTAAGTAGTCACACCACAGTAGTAAGACTGTAGATGGATTTCTTTTTGTTCATTTCCATCATTTTCCTTTTTTAAAAAAAACCAGAATGCTGCACAATATAGAACAAAACATTTAAAAATAACTTAATTTGGTTGTAATACAATATATAAGTACTGAGAATATTCAGAATTCTATTGGACTAAGTCAAAAGAGTTTTTTTTAATTTTGATAACTGAGACTTAGAGTTAATATATTTAAATTTCATAAAAGATTTGAGTCCGAGACATTCCACATGGATCATTACTATGGTAAGATATAAATTCCTGCCTACTTCACTGAGTTACTGTGAAAAATCACTAATAAAAGATTTGTAGAATTATTTTCAGTCCTGTAAAGTATTAACTAAAAGTGCAATGTCAGAGTGTCTTGGATAAGACACTAAACTTTCTAGACTGTCAAGTGGTGGCAGAAAGACACAGTCCCGCCCTTGTGCCACCAGACCCAGTGGGTTCTTTAGGGCAAGTAGGAGCCATTAAACTGTCATGTTCACTGTATCCCAGGCAACAAGTCTATGCTGTTTCCTGGGTGCCCAGCTCTGGGCTAGGCGTGATCAACACAGCACAACATATGACAAGAGGTACAGTAAGAGCTAGAGGACAGTTCAATGCTGGTTGAACCACACATCCACGTGGACAAAGAACTATGAGGCAACAGAACAGAAGCCCAGTGTTTTCCTGGAGAAGATGGAGTTTTAGCAGGCACATAAGCCGTCCTCCTGTGTGCAGCCCCGTGGACCTGGAGAAGGGCAAGTGGACCCTGCTCCATCCGGCACAGGATAGGATGCTCAGGTGGCAGAGAACTGTCCACATGACATGTGAGGGCTTTTTGGAACCAGAGCCTCTTAATTCAGGCCAAAGAAGGAGAGGAAAATGTCACAAAGGGGAGGGTTCAGACCACTACAAACTGCCACACGAAAGGCATGCGACAGTTTGCAATGCATCCTGGGACAATGTGGGAACAAGTCCTGGTGCACGTGCTGGCATGTCAGCCTACCTTGCCCATCTGGTTTCCTCCCACTGCCTCCCAGATGTGGGATTCTTACCAAGGGAGAAGCCTCCCGAGGCGACCTCTGGCATCCGTTCTTCTGCTTTTCCCAGCTGAGAAAACATATTGGGTTTGGGTCCTAAGAGTCCTGTTTTTGAGGGGAAAAATAAGGACCACATCCATTCATAATAGAGACAAAAAGCATTGCAAGGGTGAGATTTGGTCCTCAGAACTTCCCAGAAAGGGTGATTTGACAAGAAGGCCCAGGTGGGCACATGCTTGGAGGTGGAAGAGGACGGCCCAGGCCTGACATCAACACCTGTTCCTACGTCCCTCCCCTGCTGGAAGAAGGCGAGGGAGGATTCAACCCTTAGATTCCGAGGCATTTCCACTTAGGTCTTCAAAACAGGCCTGGGACCAAGGGTAGCTGATTGGAAGCTCTGGAGAAGCATTTGCAATGGGCCCTCTTCAGCCTACTCCTGTGCAGCATCAGCCGGAAGGGCCTCTCAGATCCCCACCCAGGGTCCGCCTTACCGAGCGAGACCAGGTTGCTGTAGTTCTCCAGCATCACGTCCCTGTACAGGGCCCTCTGCGGAGGACTCAGCTGCCCCCACTCCTCCTGGGTGAACAGCACAGCCACATCCTTGAAGGTCACCAAGTCCTGAAACGGCAAAGCCAATCTCACTGGCTGGGAGCTGCACCGGGGAAGCTGAGGCTGGCTGCCCCAGGATGTGCATGCTGGCATTCTGGGACAAGGCAAGCACCTGCCAGGGGCTGGACTTTGTACTAGACGCTGCTGCCCACTTTGAAGAGACACAAGTAGTAGTGAAGATGTGCTTCCTCGGCACTGGGACCAAGTACGGCTGTTCCTTTTCTCCATCTCCAGCAATCTTCCCAGGCCTGCCTCTAAACTGCCCCAACATGGCCAAATCCTAGTCTAGTCTCAGCTTAGATATCACCTCAGCACAGTCTTCCCTGACTGCTCCTGCACTCGTCAGTGTGGGCCCACTTGGTTGCGATTTCCGGTTTACATTCAGTCTCTACCTTTGGACTGTTACCTTCAAAGTATGGAACAGTTCTACATCTCCCTCATCTTCTCAGCATCTTCAACACGGCCTGCAGATGCAGCAACTATTAAAGTCATACATAGCATGTCTGGCTCAATGACAGGCCACATATATGAAGGTGGCCCCGTAAGACTGCGATGCAACTGGAAATCACTGTTGCCTAGTGATTTGCTTACAGCTGCAGTCAGGTTTTAGCACAGCGCAACACTTCCGTACTCGCAGTGGGGCTGGGGTACAGTACCTACTGTGACGCGAAGTGTACAAGTGTGCACATTCAGCACCTCATATTTGGTAATGATAGTCAACAACGTCACTGGTTAACACGTCCAGCAGACTTTTAGTCATCGCTTCTACTTATTTAAAAAAACCTCACTGTAAAACAACATGCAGTGTCACACTGCTAAGAGCCTCACACGGCTCATGTTCATCTCGACTGCATCGAGAAGCCAACTGAGCGGCTGACCCGGGTCACTCAGATTTGTACAGATACTGTTACTGGTGTTGGCACAAGGACAAAATCACCCAACAGCACACGTGTCTCAGAGCACGTTACTGTTAGGCGATGCAGACCGTACTTCTAATTCTTCAACTGCTCATCTGTCCACCCCCAACAACATACACACACACCACACGGAAACAGACATTTATATTCCGGGACTCTGTTCCCTCTGATTTACAACTAGTCTTTTTTGTTGTTGTTGTTTTTTTTTTTTTTGCAAACTTTCAAACTAAGACAAAAGAAATCATTTCTCCCAGATACCTGAAATCTAATATGTAAAATTTAGTGTTTTCACAAGGTCTTCCTAGACAACAGGGATAACAGAGAGAACTTTTAGGGGTTATTCTAGATGCCACTTCCACAGCCAAAGACCAGTTTATCTTTGCCTCTGGATCTGGGGAAATAACTCAGTATCTTTCCCACAAATACCAACTTTTGATTAAGGTGGTCTCAATTATGCTCCTGCTGCCCACACCTCCAGCCTCAGTACACAGCAAGCAGCTGGGAAATGCCTGCTGAACTGAACTCACGAACCAGTTCGTCAAGGACTGCTCTCCACCTGTGAGTTTCTAGCATAGATCAAAATACTTGGAGCATGTCCGTGTGTGACACCCAAAGCAACGCAGGCTATAAACCGCAAGATGGGCTGTGACACTGCCACGGTTTAGACAGTTTGTCCCCAAACAGGTTTGGTCCCCAATGTAATGGTACTGAGAGGCGGCAGAAGCTTAAAGAGGTGGGGCCTAGTGGGCAGAGATCAGGTAGACCTTTAAATGTGAGGGAATGAGAACAATTTTGCCAAATACAGCCGGGCATGGTGGCGCATGCCTGTAATCCCAGTACTTGGGAGGCTGAGGCAGGAAGATCACTGTGAGTTCGCGACCAGTCAGGGCTACACAGTGAGTTCCAGGTCAGTCTCAACTACATAGAGAAGACCCTGTCTCAAAAATACAAAACAAAACAAACAATTTTGCCAAATGCACCATAATTTATACATCCAAATGAATATATGACTATGTACTCTTCAAAGGAGACTGCATACTGCAGGGGAAAGGTTTTCATTTCAGACCAACCAGCTGTGCCCCTTACATGACCTTTAGCAAGTCACTTAGCTCTAACAGCCACCTGGACAAACCCAAGACGGCATCAGCTGTGTGGGGGACAGGAGTCTCAGTGAAGGCCCTGGGCAGGGGAAGAAACATGCCCACACTCTGCAAATCAGAAGGCAAATTAGGGAGAAAACCGCACTCACCTGGACCATGGTTGGTAGGCGGCTCACAGCCATTCTCTCTTCTCTGACGCTTCCTCTTAGGGACAGGCACAGTGATGAGGAGGCCAGTGAGGAGCGTGGCAAGCTCGGGATTCTGCAGGCTAGAAGCGGTCACACACCTGTGAAGAGAGAGCTGGTCAGAAGGTGTCATGCAGCAGGAGTGAGGCTGTGAGCATTCATACTCTGGGGATCCACCTGTACCTCGCTGCGATGAACTCTTTGGCTTGATTTGCTCCTAACCCTCCTGCTTCTGAGAGATTTTCCCTACTTCCTCCCTCGCACCTTACCTGTAGTCAAATCCTCCATGTCTTCCCTTCTGTATTTTAAATATTTCAACTTGCAGAAAGCTTGCTCCAGCCCCAGTTCTCATACTTTGTAACCAGCTTCCGTCCTTGCCTTAAAGTATGCTGAGGAGTCCTAAGGAATTGTCTCTCCTGGAACTGCTGAGCCGTAGGGTTGCAAAGGAAGGGGGTAAAGAGAGTTGACTTTCTCCTGAAAAAAAGACGCGACCTAAGTAGGCTACATCCTCGATGCAGAAGCCACTCAGGCCACGCTCTTCTACAGCCTCCGCTTCTCACTTTCCAGGGCCATTTGAGTGACCCGGAGTCAAAGGCGCGGCAAGAAGCAGTGAACGTGAGTCCCTGCTGCTCTGTGGGGTCCCCAGGGAGGTGCTGCAGGGCTGCACTGCGGCTCCCTAGTCCTTGGCAAACTCTGTGGCGGGCTCGGAATCAGCCGTAATTCGACCACCCTGAGTGTGCCGGGACTGCTGCTTCACCACACGCTAGAGGCCCTGGCCCCATCCACTCACTGGCACTCAGATTCGGAGGAGCCTAAAACCCAGGATGCCCGATCCTGTCGGACCTTCCCTTTTCCATCTGGAATAAAATCTCAGACACACACTCTGGAAGGTTGGAGCATTAGATCAGGGTCCTCCAGAATGGACCAGGACCCAGACATCCTCGGCTTTCCCTCAGCCCTTCTTCCTAGACCTGACCACCCACTGCCGCTGTCCCTTTGCGGCTTTAGCCACCGTGCCTGGTCACCGCTAGGTCGCCCTTCCAGGAGCCTCTACCGGCGGCGAGAGACCGCAGCCACCACATCGCAGTCAGTACACAATGAGCTGGAGTTTGCAAACTGCGCTTGCGCGTTGCCGTGGAAACCGCGGGGCTCAACTCCCACAAGCCTGAGGGATGCGGCACTTTGGTTTGCAGCACTCCACTGCCCAGAAGGCAAAGCGGCGAAGACCGGCGCCTGCGCAGACAGCCCCCTCCCCACGTCCCTTTCCGGAGCTGTGGCTTTGAATGCTGAACTACGTTTCCCAGAAGCCTCTGCGGAGTGCCCCCTTACCCCTAATCAGCTATCGGCGCCAAGACACACGCTAGCTGCCCAGCCCGGACTGATTTTGCCTTCGTCTCTACTTTGAAATAACGCTCAGAAAGCTATACGAACTGGAGGACCAGGGAGGTTAGTCCAAGGGACCAGCGCTTGATCTGGTAACGAGAAGCCCCAGAAGACCGAATAGTTCCTCGGAAAGCTGTCAGGGTTGCATCCTTGGCCCCGAAAGAAGCGTCAAATTGTCCCTGTCTGGCCAGGCACCTGGGCCAGGGCATAGCTCTGAAACATGGCAGTAACTCCTAAAGTAATTGTGGGATGGATGGGGATATCCGGGTGAAAGCCCCGGAGGAGGCTGCTGCAGCGACTCAGGACAGAGCTGATGGCATCTGGAACCAGAGGAGAACAAGGGCAATGAGAAGTACCCAGCAGGTAGAACAGACATAGGGACCAGGGCGAGGGAGTCTGGAGGCCGAGGAATCTATCTTGGACAATGTGTGATATGTAGAGAAGTTAGAATTTTTTTTTTTTGACTGGCTGGGGTGGGAAGCGTGAGGTGATGTGAAGGAATACCCTCGCTGGAGGCACTTGTCATTGGATATGTAATATTAATGGACATCAGGAAGGAAAGATGAGAGGGTTTCATGTGACCTGAGCTTAGTCACTTAGGGAATTTTAAAAGAAACAATGTCAGTGAATATGTGACACTACAACGTTCTCAAATTGGGGTTTTGTTAACACTATTCTCTAGACACTTTGAAAGCATTCTATGTGCCAGACACTACTTCAGGGCCTGGGTAAATAGTGAAAAATCTACACTCTTGGAGTTTTACTTCTACTAGGGAAGGTAGTCAACTAAATAGAAAATGTACTGACTACTATGCTGGGGGCAGAGTATGACAGGAGTTGTATTTAAATAGCATTTGGGGATCTGAATACTGTGGGGAAGGAAACCATGTAACGATTTGGGGAAAAGCCAGAAGGGAGCAGAAATGCTGCACAGGGAGAGGAGTATGGTTAGTGAATCTGAGGCTAAGCAGGCCCAGTGTGACTGACCATGGCAGGCCAGACAAGAGAGAATGGAAGTTTGGGCAGGGGCAGTTCATGAGAGCCCTGGAGACCATGGTAGAAAATTTGGATTTATTCGGCATGTGATGGCAAGCCACTAAACAGATTTGGGCTAGTGCCATGGCTAAGCACAATAGGATAGAATCATGGATCAGCTTCAGGAAGAACAGAGTGGTAACATTGAAGGGGAATATGAAACTAGATAGGAGACCTTTGTAGCAGGGTGAGGGAAAGCCTCCCACAGATATATAACATTTCTAACGCATTTGCTTTGAGAGCCTAATTACTCTTCAGATTTTAATTAAGAGTTTTAGATGCTACACTAAGTAGCAATTTAGATAACGGTTCTGTTTCAGGTATATGAGGACGACAAGTATTTATCGAGCACTAACTGCATGCTGGACACTTTTAAGGCACTTTACATTATTATTTAATGCAACCCAAAGCAATTAGGTTTGTGCTGTTAGCAAATGAGAAAAGCGAGGCACTGATTATGTTAAATGGCTTGCCCAAGAGCCTGCATATAGTAAATGGAATTAGGAATCCTATTTCTGCTAATGGAGGAAAGGGCAAAAGCGTCCTTGTTACTTAGCTGAGAGCTGACAAGCAAGGACCCAAAGTCTTCCAAAACTGAAAATAGGTATGACACATCCACTTACATGACACCTCTTTCCTGGGGCTGCTCTAGTTTGCTATACAGTACCCAACAGGCATGTTCCACACAGCCAATTACAAAAACCAAACTGAAGAGTTAATGTGAAGCCCAGTGTGCCCTCTCACTCATGCCAGGACCCAACACACTTCATTGTTCTGAGCGTTCAACAGAGCAGCCCTCACTTCTCAAGGATTTTTACTATGATTCATTATGCTCAGAGAAATGAGGTTAAAACTGTGATCAGGTTGCCAGGCATGGTGGGTGCATACCTGTAACCCCACCACTCAGGAGGCTGAAGCAGGAGGATCATCTCAAGTTCAAGGCCAGCCTGGGCTATGTAGTGAGTTCAGGGGCAGCCTGAACTACAAAGGAAGACCCTGCCTCAAAAAACCAAAATGTGATTTTCCTCTCTGCTGCCACTCTCAATTATGCAAATCAACACTTACGTACCAGAATCTGTATCAAATCTGACCACTCTTCCTCAGAATAGGTGCTATTTCCTACAGATTAAGTGTTCACTTTCTGAGCCATGTTACATGGCCCTTGCAATAGGATGTAATGAGAGGTTCGTTCAGCTTTATTTCCTATCGTTTCTTGAGTTCTATTCTATACTCAAATCATACATCCTTTAAAGTCTCCTAAAAACAAACATACTCAGCCTTCTTGCAATTCCTTCTGCTCTTACCACCTATCTTTTTTGCACTTAACTGGCACACTCCTATGGCAACCTATGCTGGGAGCTGCTCAGCAGCAGAGACTAGTGGTCCTTCACAGTGGCATTCACACGAGCTGCCTATACAGTGACTAGGAACACTATCTTATGCATACTTATCACTACAGCATGCAGCACATAAAGTGTTCCAGCAAGTCTATGGAATATAGGCAGGAAATGAACTGTACCAGTGTGTATATACCCAGGGAAGTAACCTATCTCGACTATTTACTAAGCATTCATCAATTTTCAGAGTCCCTTCATCTAAGATCGGCTGTGAATTTTTTGCAGAAGCTGAATGCAGTTCCCCTGAACATCCATGTGTCAGGGCTATGCTTAATCTAAGGGAGAAATACTGGCACTGTAGTCTTCAGCTCCACCTGCTGTGGAACCCTGACTGGTACCTCTTTAATTATCCAGACCCATTTGAGTGATGGTCCAACCATAGAGAAAAAAGTACCTAATATGCCATTATCTGTAGTTCCAGAGGGTCTTGTTTCTTGTTATCTTAGATGTCATCTGACTGTACCCTAATTCCTCGTTCATTTATGACCCCCCCCATGAGTTCCTTTAGAGGCTGACATCTCTAGCGGTTAGAGGGTGCTCAGCAAATACCCAATGGCATACTGATCATGACTGGCTGCTACCCAGAGGCCTGATTGCATGGACGGTGACTGTATGACAACCTCCTCCACACCAGCTGGCTGGGAAAGCAACAGGTACTTGGGCAGAAAAGGGCACTTATGAAGTCTGTCGTAAAAGGATGATCTGGACCAAATGGGATTCTTTCACAGAATTTTAAAATTAGGACAGACAGATGTGGTGGTCAGAAAGAACAGCTGATGCTGATGTTTTGGGTCATGTGCAAATTTAACTGCAGATATGAGAAGTCATCCATCAGTGAGGTCCAAGATACCAGGCGATGGCGGCAGCAGCAGTGAGGGGCAGAGGACAGGGGGAGAGAGCACACAGATGTCCTTGGATGCTGGGGATTCCAGCTGATGCAAGGCCTGGCTATGTTATTTTAAGACACAAAAATATAATTCTCGAATATTATAAACACTACAGTTTGATCTCAGAGAACACCAAAGTGAAGAAATTGCTTTAACAAGAGGACATCATAGCTGAGGTCTTCTTTCCCAGACCTTTACACTCTAGCTATCTTTTCTAGGTGTTTCCCATATAAACAGCATCTTGAGGATGGAGCAAATCACTGACATAGCTTCTCCAGTCTTCTGATCCCCCAACTCTCTTGGCTCAGCATGTAGATACTGGGGCTCACTGACTACATTCAAATATAAACTGGTGGAGTGAGAACAGGCAAAGAAAAAGGGAGAATGAATCACAGAACTGTACTAAGAAACATACTTTTAATATGTAACCTTGTGCCCTGTCTCCTTTTCTTGTTTCCCACCTGATCTCAAGATAAAAAAGGGGGGAAAGAAGGAGGCAGAGAGATTAGATGGGTAGAAAATAGATGAAAATGTAAAGACAGCAGCAAAATAAAAGCTTAAGAGGAAGGCACAGAGGGCAGAAATGAAGGGTACTGAAACTGAGGATGGATACAATAAATCAAAGTTGGTAAAATGATAATGCTGAGGAACTACACCCAAACACTAGACCAACAACAGTTCATAGGCACATCTTCCACTGCCACCCACATCTTCTGGACCCATGATTTCTTAATTTCTTTGCCTCCTCTTAGAGTTTCCATCCTCCTATTGAAAGAATTTCTGCAGCTGTAGTCTGTGCTCCACATCCTTCTCATTCTAAGCTGTAGATTCTCTCTTTCCTGTGCTCCCTGACTCCCCCATGCTTCTTTTTTGTAGTTATAATAAACACATTTAATCCTACCTTTGACCAAACAAATACTCTCTGGCAGACTACTGGTTGGCCAAATCAAAACCATTCTGAAAGCCATTTCTTTGTCTACCTCCACTAGAGGGAATAGAAGAACTAAATACTTCTTTTCTCAGCCTCCCTTGAGGCTGTATATACTTATACAGGCATGTATATATATATATATTGTATATACATATACAGGCATGTATAGCTGTAGTCAGTGAAAGGCAAGGAGCATGCTGAGGGGGTTATGGGGAAACATATCTAATAAAATACACTGCTGTTGCTGGTCCTACCCATCCCATCTTCCTACCACAAATGCAGACATTCTACCTGGAGCTTGGCCACTATCATACAACCAACATAGCAACCCCATGAAACTCAAGGTATCTGATTACTTCTGTGAAACAATGCCAGAAACAATGCCAGAAAAAGTGGCTGTTTTTTTATTTTCTTAGTTATGGCATGCCGATCCACTCAAGAAATTCAAGTCATTCTAAACATTTCCTTGTAACTCAAATGGGTATATTTAACCAGTTATATTTCTTCTAGTTTCTACCTCATTGCTGCTTCAGGTCTCCTTTTCTTTCACAGCACAATATCACTTTCTTAGTTTAGCCCTTAGAACAGTGATGGTGAACCTTTTAGAGCTTTCAGTGATGACAGATAGCCAACTGTGGCACATGAGCCACAATTTCACCACCACTGCCTTAGAACATAACGAATATATCTTAATCATTGTGATTTTCTAATCATGTCTTTAGTACTTGTTAAAATGGGTGGAATAAATGAAACTAAACTACTACCACCATGATAGATGTATAAAATATCGCTGTGATAGTTTCAAAATGTATTCTGAGTTGCAAAGGTTTTGTTAATATACTAGATGTCCTCTTTTTCTTCTCTTTTCTACTTGGAGAATCAAATACAACACAAAGATACGTATTTGAGTCTATGATGTACATATAGACCATATTTAGTTTTCTAAATAATCAGCTAATTTAACAACAATTTATTAATGATGAGAACTAAAAACTGCATGCTAGTGCATTAAGAGCTGTACAATTATCCTATTACCTGGTAGAAACCAGCCTATATTTTAGGGTAAAAAGTAAGGCAGGAAGAGGGGAAAGGACATGGTAGAATAGGCATTGGTAGAGGTAGAGAATGTTGACTCCAAGGAAAACAAAGTAGAAGCACCTAGAAAACATACATGAGAGTAAAAGACCAGAAATTTCTCACCATCGTTTGTAGAATTTTAGCAAATAGCGGTCCTTCAGGCTTTCAATATGGAAAATCTCTCAATTACCAGATAAGGAAACTGTGACCCAGTAAAAGCGGGTAACTTTTCCAAATTAGTGGTATTCAGGACTACATACTAGGTCTTTGGGCTGTCCAGCCACACACTGTGAGACTCTTTTCATTGTGAAGTCCCTGATGTCCAGAAGAGAATCTGCAGTATGACACAACAGAACTTATCTTCATGGTCTATGTAACAGTTACTCAAACCTGACATAACATAAAATTTTACCTTCTGAATCAAATTTTTTTCTAATTTCATGAGGTTTCTCTGCTATGATCTGTATTGTCTGATGTGCTATACACTTCAACTAAAAGATTCCCATAATTGTTACATTTATTAGGCATCTACATCAACATGACTTATATAATTACTTAAGAGTTAATCATAATGAAGTGGCTCATGAATGCTTTCTTCATGTATGAGTTCTTTGATGTCTTGTAAGGTTTGTGCTCCGACTGAAGGCTTTTCCACATTCATTACACTGATAGGGTTTCTCTCCTGTATGAGTTCTCTGATGCACTATAAGGGATGAATTCTTAATGAAAGCTTTACCACACTGGTCACATTCATAGGGCTTTTCACCAGTATGAATTCTTTGATGCTCAATAAGGTATGCACTCTGGCTGAATGCCTTTCCACATTCAGAGCATTCATAAGGCTTCTCTCCAGTGTGAATAACCTGATGTACAGTTAGGGATGATCGTCCAGTGAAATGTTTTCCACATATCATACACTCATAAGGTTTCTCTCCAGTGTGAATTCTTCGATGTTGAGTAAGAGATGAGTTCTTACTGAAGGCTTTTCCACACTGATTACATTCAAAAGGTTTTACTCCAGAGTGAAGTCTTTGATGTTCTATAAGATATGTACTCTGGCTAAAGGATTTCCCACATTTATTACATTTATAGGGCTTTTCTCCAGTGTGATTTCGCTGATGAAGGGTAAGGGTTGAACTCTTGCTAAATGCTTTTCCACATTCACTGCATTCATAGGGTTTTTCTCCAGTATGACTTCTCTGATGCACAATAAGATGCATGCTTTGACTGAAAGCTTTTCCACATTCGTTACATTCATAGGGTTTTTCTCCTGTATGAGTTCTCTGATGCACAGTAAGATTCATGCTTTGTGTAAAAGCTTTCCCACATTCATTACATTTGTAGGGTTTCTCTCCAGTATGAATCCTTTCATGTTGAATAAGGGATGAATTCTTACGGAAGGCTTTCCCACATTCTTTGCACTGATATGGTTTCTCCCCAGTGTGAGTTCTTTGATGAACAGTAAGGTTCATGCTCTGACTGAAGGCTTTTCCACATTCATTGCATTTGTAGGGTTTCTCTCCAGTATGAATTCTTTGATGTACGGTAAGGGAAGAGCGTTCAATGAAGTGCTTACCGCAGACATTGCACTTATATGGTTTCTCCCCAGTATGAATCCTCTGGTGTTTAAGAAGGGATGAGCTCTGGCTGAAAGTTTTCCCACATTCATTACATTCATAGATTTTCTTTCCTACAAACATTCTTTTAGTTTTCATTAACTCAGAGTTTTGTTTGGCATCTTTTCCATGTGAATTCCAATTGTGCGGATATTTTGATTTAGGAATTCCTTGCTGTGTATTAAGGACCGAATCTTGATTGGAACATTGTTCAAGGTCATTACCTCTACACACTCCCCTCTCAGTGAGGGTTTCCTTACAGGTAACTTGGCCTAGATGTCTTTCCTGTTGCTCCTCTAACCAATTATCAGGTTCCCAAGTTTCCCCTAAGGGTGAATGCCACAGACCTTTCCTTTCCATTATGGATCCATGGGATAAATCTTCAATAATATTGGGCTTTGGAGATAACTCTTTGCCTTCAAGCCTTGTCTCCTGGTCTGAAAAAAGAATTAAAATGCACATTGGTTTCTGTATTGGGAGAGTGAAAGTTTAAAGATGGCAATGAGCAGTTGAAACTCGAATAAATATTAGGCATATTTCAGAGCTTTCAAAGATATCTTTATAGTTAGGCAAAGAAATTGGAAGAGAAGGAAAGAAGAGTGGACCTGTCCACAGAAAACAGGGGAACTAGCAGCAGGAGATGGCAAATCCATTGGATAATCAGAAGAAAAAGTGCATTCAGGAGGGATGGGCAGCAGAATCAGTGAACACTGGTTTAGGCCCAATAAGATGGAACTAAGAGAAAATATACAAAGAGATGTAATTGGGAGAAGCAAATCAGAAGTCTGGCACTTCATCCATTTTATACATAACAGCAGTTTCTTCCCTTCAGTAAGGCTACTTAGAATTCTACAGCAAATTAATCTTTACAAAACATCACAGTGTACACAGGGAAGAAGTTGCTGAGCTCAGAGTCAGACAAATGGCCTCAAAGCCTGGCTTTTCATGCCATCTAAATTCATTACTTGTTTCATTTCTCTGGGCCTGATTTTTCACAGATATATATATATATATAT